GTAAGTTTGAAAATCTTTAATCTTTTATTGGTCTATTTACTTGTGTAAAGTAAGAAAAAAGTATGCTTAGCCAAACATGCCTGTAAATGATTGCATTCATTAACTAATCCAAGCATTTTCTTATTATAGCAGCAAGAAGGCACAGGGGCTGTTGAAAGCGAGTTTGGATTTGATGGATATCACTTGGATAATCTTCCTGTGTAACACATCTCACTGCTGTAGCTTATCGTATTTAGCACTTTCATGTAGTCACAGTTCTGATCAAATGCTGAAGATTCAGTTTCTGCTTCCAGAAGTAGGAATTTAGCTGCATTATTCTGGTGTCGATAGCAAGCTGTGTTTATTTCTTTGAAATTATAATGCAGAGCATGATGCCCAGTCAGGTGGATCAGCTACGATTGAAGATGATGAAGGGAAAATGTGCAAAGCATACGCCAAATTTTGACAGCTTTTAGAATAGGCGATTGTAGTAGGAACAGTATTATTTTCAGGAACTTGTGAATTTTCCTCGTTTGCGAGTGCCAGTCTATTTCTCTCTGCAAACTTGAGTCTGCTCTAACTCAAATAAGACAAATGTTTATTTTCCAGAATTTGGATGACGTGTATAGATTTGATTTGAATTCAAGAAACTAGCCTTGTCGCTCTTTCATTTTTTTCACTTCTACATTACGCGTACTTTGTTGATATGCTGATTATTCATACTCGGGACTTGTGATTCCATAAAAATAGAACAGGCCGCACAATCACCCACGTCGAATTCCACTATGCATCGCTTCTTATCGCCTATCGGCGGATGCTTTATACTTCTGGTTAGAAAGCTTAAGCGGATCATGCGTGCATGTCCTTCAATGCCACAATGAAGTCTGAAGTATGTTGCAATAAAATCGTCTAAATGTACAATCAGAATTACAGGAATGCAAAATAATGTTTTCAAAATACGAAAATTTATGTCAAGCTAACAAACACACAGGGCATGTTACAATAACGACATATTTTCTTATCTGCAATCCTCAATAACAAGGTTGAAGCGCTAAAAATCCCCTACCTGTCTAAAATTCCTTGAAGCATGTCATGAAAAGAATGAACAAATCGATGGCTATGAAACAATTGTTAGAAAAGATAGTTCGGGGACCTAACCGCACAAGACAAGAAGATAAGGGCTAAAGGAGCAATTATCGAAGATGAAGATAAAAACGTAATACCAGCAAACAGCAACTCTACCTTACCAGAATCTGAAGGAAAAGGAATATGGCAGTACAACAGCTCCTCCAACGGATTCAACCACAGCACTACTAACAATCCTTGATTTAGGGGATTTCATCAATGGCATGGTTACCTGGTTGAGTGGAGATTGTATGTATTGTATGTATTCATCTTTGTGTATAAATAGGTGTCCTATGTATTGCTGTAATATATTGAATTAATCAATTCTTCAATAATCAAAGTTTTCTTCATTTACTCTCTCGTTTCTGGATTTTATCTACAATGGCTACTGATGCATCGCCAAGAAAACTGCAAAGGCGAAAATGACATGTATCATAACAGATGAGCCGAATCTATGAGAACTGCTTTTGGGAAGTACTTTGGGCAATGAACATTCTTCCCCGTTGAAGAAAACTTTTGTTGGAAATCCATCACCACGGGGAATATCTACTCCTGGGGTCAACTTCTTCGTGAATGAAATTACAGATTGCTGCTTTCCGGGAACTCTGGGATCCTTCTGTGGGTTAGCGCTCTCTGTTTCTGCCACGAGATAGTTCAAGCCAGGGAGGCCTTGCATGAAAATTGTATTGTTGACACCATTCAATGTACTTCCATTGAAGGAGTAGACTGCTTCAAAACCTGGAGCTGCTTTGTCCAATTCAATTGCAGTAAACCAATCGACAAAAGGAATTTCGTCCCAGTTAAAGATTGTAATCCTTGCAGACCATCCACTTCTGTAGTCTGTGAACAAATGCCAGTTGATGCTAACACCGCAATTATCACCACATGGCAGAGGGTTTGGCACTGGGAAATGATGAAGATCGGCCCAAGCTGTGGATAAAGTAGTTCGATTCTCAAACGGGACGAGAAGCGCCTGAGATGGAAGAAGAAGAGCCGGAGACTTAGTACTACATGTGCGATCAGTATTAGAAGGACAACCGCAGGCACATGTTGGACACGGGATGATAGATTCATTGTAATAAGCAGAAAACGATACACAGCATCGAGGGCTCACTCCCTTTGGTTTCGTAATATTGCAGACAACTTGCCAGCTTGCCATTGCAGCAGTATCTGACAATAACCCGCTCGGGTCCGGATATTGGCTGGGACTGACTCGGACGGGCGGTCCACATTTATAACTGGGATTCAGTCTGCCGGAGATCTCCCAATTCTGTGGTGGAGAAAGCATGGAGCGATTAAGATCTGGAGGCATTTTGAAAACATTGATCTGGAATGCTGAAATCGAATTGCTCGGGTCCATTGCAGGTGGCAAGATTGTCCCATTCCGACAACAAAAAGGTATCATTCCTAGATTCGTGTCATTTGTTTTCGCTAAAGGCAGGTCGACTATTGTTGGCCTCCTGTCACAATTCAATGCAGTGGAAAAGTCGAGGTCCTTGTAGAACTCAGCCTGTTTACCGAAAACACACTTTGATGTATCTACCACGGAGGGATAGGCTCCTTTCATGGCGAAAATGAACTCGTCCTTCATCCAATCCCAGCTTAACTGCCAGTTATCAAGACGGCCAAGTGGGTTATGATTTGCAATAGTAACCTGCGCCCAGTAATTCGATTCATATGTTCTGATTACATCGTACATTATAGTGAGGTCACCATCTTGACGTGGTAGAAATTCTTCGTCCGAGGTAACATTTGACTTGAACTTTGGATCTCTGGCGCAACACACTTGCAATACACTCATTCCTGTAAGAAAAAGAAAAACAACCTCATAAATTATGCATTTAAACATGACAAGCTAAATTCATCATATTGATCATACTAAACATGCACTAAAAGCATGAGAAAGATACGATAACTTCAGAAAGATCTTAACGTTATCCCAGATAACATGCAAAAAAATTTAGAAAGAACCGTGGACAATACATCATATTCTTCAGCTCAAGAGTAACCTCAAAAAACTTATCATCCATAGAAGACCAGACAAACAGATTTTAAAACGAACCCTTCTTCAACTTATGAACGAACTCCCATGGACTCGAATAACATTATTAAACCGAACCCTCCAAAAACAATAATTCAATTCCTAACTATCACTAACACAAAAGTACCAATGAGATAGCCTTTTCTTGATATCACACTGACTAGTCAACCAAAACTCCACAGATTCATTTTCTCACGCTTTTAATCCCTCAAACTTAGATCAAATTCAGCTCAACAAAAACATTTAGTAAACCACATTATTCAAACATTTTCTACATTTTTACATCTCATCGAGCAGAAGATCAGGAGATGATACTAGGTCCCGCAGCTCGACAATATGATGATAAAAAGTTTAACACTATACACCAACTCCATCAAACTACGAGATAAATTGAAAAATAATTAAATTTTAGTTTATATACTTTCCACATCACAGCATAAAAACTCAAACAGAATCTCCTATTTTCAGAGTGAAATACAGAATAAAAAACTCAAAATTAAAATATAAATATAGAGAATGGCAGTACCTTGATTAGAGGGTTTTGGGCAAACCCACCCATCATTCACCAATGAAATGTTAATGGGCAAAGGAACATCCGGAGCCCCGACTCCGAATTGGGTCCCTACCAAATCGACCTGGACACTCATCTGGGTCAAGTCCCCCGCGGTTTCAATACCCGTCTTCAGATCCGAACTCGGGTAACCCGTAAAAACCGACCCATTTCCCACATTCGCAGGAAGCGAAGTGCCATCTGCAAGCACCACATTGGATGCGGATATCAAGTACTCATCATGCTGAAACCCGAGAAAGACCCGCCATGACTTGAGCTCTTCCAAGTCATTATTCAGTACAAAGAGAGTGGATTCGAATCTGTAAGCCTGGCGTGTCGGGTCCGACTTGAGAGAAGGGGGTAGGAGTTTGCCGGTTTTATAAGTATAGGAGAGAAATATTCCGTTGCAAGAATCAGACGCCGGTGCTGGCACTTTTTCTGGCCTCGTGGTTTGCGCCCGGGTTTGACCCGAAATGAGCAGAATAAAGAGGAAAAGGAAAAAAATGGTCGTTGCTGCCATGTTTCTTGAATGCGTGTGTGTCTCAGTTCAAACACAGATCAAATGTATAAATACATAAAATTAGAAAAAGACGCAGAAAAACTTTTCTTTTTCTCTTTCTATATCCAAGTGTGTGCATATCCCTATTATTATAGATACATACAGAAGGCGTGTGTAGTGTAGATGCCTGAACAGAGTGGTAAAAGAAGGTGGGAGACGCGGACACGAAAAATGGAAAGGAGACGGCTTAGGCTTCGCTTAGAGAAGGCTGTAATGTTTAGCTTTGTTTGGTGGCTACAGGTTTATTGGGGTAGGAAATCCGTTAGAATTTCTCTTGAATTTTGAATGTTCCGTGCAAAGTGGGACCAACACAACATACTCGACGAGTATTCTACATCATTTTTTTTATGGGATAATCGCAGCACCGGTACCAACCTTTTATTAAGTAGCAGATTTTGTCCAAACATTTTATTTGTACCACCCACAGTATCAAATCTTTCAAAATGTCGTAGCTAAAGTCCAAATGGATATTTCTATTAGTTTGACGGTTAGTTAACCAAATAATTGATTTTGAAAATAATTTTGACTGATTTTAAAAAGTTAACATGGTAACTTTACATTTTTTTTATAATTAAAATTAAAAATTCATTTCCACCTTCTTAATTCTTATTCTCCATCCACCCCACCCCAACCCAATCCAACCCAACCCAACTGAACCGCAACCCCAAATTTGCAAATAAACCAAGAATTACTTACTTTTATCTAATCCGATTTTCTCTCTTTTTTTTGTCAACACTGTGGACCCCATGAAGAAGCCTCCTCTTGTTATTGCCAACGATGTGTTGTCCGTCCTTGCTGTGGATTACCCAGTGGACAAAGTCTCATGTTGTGTCTCGGATGATAGTTCAGCGATGCTCACCTTTGAAGCCCTTTCTGAAACTGCAGAATTTGCTAGGAAATGGGTGTCTTTCTGTAAGAAGCACAATATTGAGCCCAGGGCCCCTGAATTCTACTTTGCTCAGAAGATAGATTACCTCAAGGATAAGATTCAGCCTTCCTTTGTTAAAGAGCGCAGGGCAACGAAGGTAAATGACAACATATTCATCCTGCTCAATATGATTTCTGAAACTATTCGCCGGTCTAAACATTGAGTGAAACTCGTGATTAACTATACATTGGAAAACATTTTTTGTCGAGAGAATATGAAGAATTCAAGATATGCATCAACGCACTAGTTGTTAAAGCTCAAAAGATGCCTGGAGAAGGATGGACAATCGGATCACATATAAGTAAGAAATTCTGGGTTTTGATTTCCCATATTTGCAGATTTGGTCAACTAACGGTCAAACTAACAGAAACCATCTATTTGGACTTCAACTGTGGCATTTTGAAAGATTGGTACCGTGGACTGTACAAATGAGAGGTTTGGACAAAATCTACTATTTAATGAAAGGTTTGGTACTACTGCTGCAATTATCCCTTTTTTTATAGGAAAAATTGCAGCAACGAATCTTAACATTTTCAATATGTGTCAACGACGTCCCTAATCTTTCAGAAGTATGCAGTTAAGGTCTATTAACACCCGACCTCGGAGGTCGACTAAATCCGGGTTATTATACGTAACAAATATGAGCTAACGAGAGATTGGGAAGGTAAGGTTAGCTCGGTTACAGTTTGGCTTATGCAAGATATTTGTGTAGTTTATCGAGGCTGAAGGAAACATGATGATTGAAGATCACTGACAGAATATATAAACTACAACTTAGTAAAAAACACTTGGAAATGTCTTACATCAGCGCCCACCTAATCCACCAATCACTAACTTTAGCTTCCTCCCCTAAGTAATTCATTAATTACCGGGGACCACTTGCAGGTTTAATTCATGATGACCTGACAAGTTGAGCTCGACAGCCAATCTAAGTACACCAACAGGTGTACTTCTTCAGCTCAGGATTAGAGTTGACGAGGCATGACATCAAGTGATTTTTTCAAAATTATAAAATACTCTAGTTGCTGTCTTCAAGAGCTTTTATTTTCTTGTGACAATATTTTCATAAAAATCTTAGGACACACGATATTTTGTTAAGATAATGATTTTTAATGTATAAATGATCGGCATAAATTTCTAATCTCTCTTTCTATCAGTGTCATATAACTTAAGTTGAACAAATTTGCATGTTGGTTTCTAATTGTTATTGTTTCTTTAGTATCTTACTCTCATTAAAAAAAGGGTTGTCAATTACTGGAAATCAGAGGCTGTAAATTATTGGAAATCGGCAGGTTGTAAATCATCTATAAGTGCTGTAAATTCGGGCTACAGTCACTGTAAATCAGTATGTATAAATAACTGTAAATTAGGGCCGTGAATTACTGTAAATTAGGCTGTAAGTCATCTCTAATGGATGTAAACTAATACCCCATGTTATAGTAAGCAAATATTATGTTACTCTTGATGGATGAACATACAAATGTCTTGTTTGACTTGGCTGAACATGTTTGCATGTTTTTAATCCCACTTTAAGACATTACATGAATCTAATGTGGTTGAATTGTATGACAGATTGTGAGGAAGATCCGAACTTCTTAGAATCCGACCACGACTTTGAGTCTGACGACGATGACATCGAATATGATACAAACGTAACTGATGAGATTGAAATTGGATCGGGCGTCCATAACGATAAAGTACATGAAGAACGAGAAGGCGAGTTGGATGAATTAGAACTACCGTCGTTAGACGATCTACTCGCACAATGTTCATCAGATGAGGATGGCAGTTATCACTTTCCTCAATTCACTTTTGATCAGGACATGACAAATCCTCAGTTCAAGGTAGGACAAATATTCAGTTCTGTAGCAGAGTTCCGAGAGGCGGTGCGAACATACGATACATTGAATGCGTACAACGTAAAATTTAAGACAAACGAGGAAATTAGGGTGCAAGGAATTTGTAAATTGGGTTGCAAATGGCGAATATGGGCTTCTAAATTTGATGCATCCAAGAGGTTTCAAGTAAAATCTTACACTTCGGAGCATACCTGTAGTCAGGATCAATTTAATAGACGTTGTAATTACATATTCTTGACACGTCAATATATTGAGCAATTCAATGCGGACCCAGACTGGAAGACTGAGTTAATTTTGGCAACGGTGAAGAAGGATCTCCGTATAGATATTAGCCGAAATGTAGCATGGAAGATACAGAGATATGCAAAAGAACTTTTAGTAGGGAATTTGCAAGAGCAGTTTAGGCGATTGAGGTCTTATGCAGCCGAGGTACTTCGTACAAATGTTGGCTCGACAGTCATTATAGCATTACATGATTAGATATTTCAAGGGATCTACATATGCTTCAATTGTTGTAAGATAGGTTTTAGAGATGGCTGTAGGAAGGTAGTAGGAGTTGACGATTGTCACTTATGAGAGAGTTTCGGAGGTATAATGTTAACTACAGTTATTATTGATGCTAATGACTGCATCTGTCCCTTTGCCTTGCAATTGTTCAGAAAGAAAATACAGCAGCTTGGCGATGGTTCTTGACCTATCTCTCAGAGGACATTGGGGTAGGAGATGGAAAATGACGGACTCTGATGACCAACAAACCGAAGGGTTACAAAATGTGATAAACGAGTTGTTCCCAATGGCCAAAGATAGGTTTTGTGTACGTCATATGTACATGAACTTCTTTAATTCTGAATTTAAAAGCAAAATTCTGAAGAATTACTTATGGCGGGCTGCTAAATCAACCAATGTTACTGACTATCAACATTGGATGCAACAAATTCGTCAACTTAGTGATGAGGCATACAAATGGCTTACAGAGAAGAACCCGCAAGAATGGAGTAGATCACACTTTTTAGTTCAATCGAAGAGTGACATTCTACTTAACATTCTATGCGAAGTGTTCAACAAGACATTGCGGTCTGATAAGGAAAAGATGATTCTATCAATGTTAACTTCACTACAGTTAACCTTTCATGAACAGGATTCGGAAGCGTCGAGACACGATGATGAGGTGTACATGACGTTTGTGTTCGAAGATCAGTAAGAAATTGTGAAATATTGCTTAGAAATTACGTGAATGTACATTACACTTTTCTGGTGGTCCGAAATAGCATGTTGAATGTAGCTTCGGGACATATGTTGTCAATATGGAGGACATAACTTGTGCATGTAGAGAATGGGAACTTACAGGCATACCTTGCATGCATGCAGTGGCAACTCTCCCAATGTTCATCAGATGAGGATGGCAGTTATCACTTTCCTCAATTCACTTTTGATCAGGACATGACAAATTCTCAGTTCAAGGTAGGATAAATATTCAGTTCTGCAGCAGAGTTCCGAGAGGTGGTGCGAACATACGGTACATTGAATGGGTACAACATAAAATTTAAGACAAACGAGGAAATTAGGGCGCAAGGAATTTGTAAATTGGGTTGCAAATGGCGAATATGGGCTTCTAAATTTGATACATCCAAAAGGTTGCAAGTAAAATCTTACACTTCGGAGTATACCTGTAGTCAGGATCAATTTAATAGACGTTGTAATTACATATTCTTGACACGTCGATATATTGAACAATTCAAGGCGGACCCAGACTGGAAGACTGAGTTAATTTTGGCAACGGTGAAGAAGGATCTCCGTATAGATATTAGCCTAAATGTAGCATGGAAGATACAGAGATATGCAAAAGAACTTTTATAGGGAATTTACAAGAGCAGTTTAGGCGATTGAGGTCTTATGCAGCCGAGGTACTTCGTACAAATGTTGGCTCGACAGTCATTATATCATTACATGATTAGATATTTCAAGGGATCTACATATGCTTCAATTGTTGTAAGATAGGTTTTAGAGATGGTTGTAGGAAGGTAGTAGGAGTTGACGGTTGTCACTTATGGGAGAGTTTCGGAGGTATAATGTTAACTGCAGTTATTATTGATGCTAATGACTGCATCTGTCCCTTTACCTTGCAATTGTTCAGAATGAAAATACAGCAGCTTGGCAATGGGGGTAGGAGATGGAAAATGTTGGACTCTGATGACCAACAAACCGAAGGTTACAAAATGTGATAAACGAGTTGTTCCTAATGGCCAAAGATAGGTTTTGTGTACGTCATATGTACACGAACTTCTTTAATTCTGAATTTAAAAGCAAAATTCTGAAGAACTACTTATGGCGGGCTGCTAAATCAACCACTGTTACTGACTATCAACATTGGATGCAACAAATTCGTCAACTTAGTGAAGAGGCATACAAATGGCTTACAGAGAAGAACCCGCAAGAATGGAGTAGATCACACTTCTTAGTTCAATCGAAGAGTGACATTCTACTTAAAATTCTATGCGAAGTGTTCAACAAGAGATTGCGGTCTGATAAGGAAAAGATGATTCTATCGATGTTAACTTCACTACAGTTAACCTTCGTGAACAGAATTCGAAAGCGTCGAGACACGATGATGAGGTGTACAGGACGTTTGTGTTCGAAGATCAGTAAGAAATTGTGAAATATTGCTTAGAAATTGCGTGAATGTACATTACACTTTTCCGGTGGTCCGAAATAGCATGTTGAATGTAGCTTCGGGACATATGTTGTCAATATGGAGGACATAACTTGTGCATGTAGAGAATGGGAACTTACATGCATACCTTGCATGCATGCAGTGGCAGTAATTAGGGAATGCAGAAATGATCCGGAAGACTTCATTCACAATTGCTACACGATTAAGACATATGAGGTGCTACAATAGTATCATGCATCCAATTAACGGTATGTAGTTATGGCACAATTGGATATGGTCAATATCACTCCACCGTTGTGGAATGTAACGCAAAAGGGCAGGAGACGGATAAATTGAAGAAAAAGAGCAGGCGAAGATATGATAGTACATTCACAAGAGAAGACCTATATTCGGAGAAATGGGCGATTGAAGATGACATGCACATTATGCGGACAGTAGGGTCAAAACAAGTGATACTACTTTAGGCCGGATGCACCGAATTTTGTGAGTAGGATCTTCATTTCGTTGATGTTATAAATCGATGATTACAGTATAACTTTATTTTTTTGTCAATAGGATTGGTTTGAAGGAAATTTAGAATCAATTGGCACACATTGCAGTCAACGAACGAGTAAGTAAATGTTTGATTGAGTT